TTTTCTTGAATTAGATCTTTTCATTAAAGTACTGAAATACAGAGCAAGGATCTGCACTGTACTGTTTGTTGTAAGGAAAATTTAATTAAGTTGTTATGGAACATTAGTTTGAAGAGATGTCACTTAGAGTACAGATAGATATTTAGAAATGGCCCATATGAAAAAAAGGGATACAAAATAAATCAAGAAATTCTAGGGGAAGGTTATTTACAATGAGAAAGTCCCATTTTTAAGGTATGGACAAGAGATTTAAATATTCTCTTTATTTTATGGTTTTTACTTAACCTTACATAGCAACTTAATTGACAACATTAAATTGGTAAAATTATGAAACTTAATTTAGAATAAGAATTAAAAATCCATGTCTTAGAAGCACAACATGGCTCAAGCAGTTGGACGAGAAGACTGCAACTAAATAACCAAGTTTAGCAATGAAATGCTGTTGTGTTTGCTTATAGTAAAGGTTTGAAATTTGTAACAAATTCATTACCACTGACTGAAATGTCTTAAGTTTTTTTTTTGCACAAAGAAGAGAAAGTCTTCATATGCCAGTTGTCTATATATTAAGTCCTAGGCTGTTAACTGAAACTGTGACTCCATTGAAAGCCCACGGTAAGGAGCCTGCTGCATGGCTTCCACAGCCTGCAGTGGACTAGCCCCCACCCGTGGTGACCTTTCGGTCACATGCACAAAGACAGCCATCTGCTAATCTTGAGTAACCACTGACCTGTCCCTATGTGAAGGCAAAACAATTATTTGGTCTCTTGATTATTTCTTTTGAACATTTACTCTTTTGAAAAATGCTAAAGCTCTAAAAAATCATTTTATATTCCAATGTTTTAAAATAACAATTTTATAGCAAAAATAAATAAATTTTTAAATAAAAATTAGAATTTTTAACATATATATTGCCACATTTTCATGCCAATAATAATTTTCTGAAAGTCATAAATCTGTGTTATTTGTGACTGTACACAGACACACATGTTTTGAATATATAGTGTATTGTAATCTTGTTAGTCATGTGAGCCAATGTTTGCTTTTCATAATTTGATGTGAATAAAATTTAGCTGTAACTTTATTAAAATCTGGGTGAGTCAGTAACTGTAAGGTAGATTTTGAGCATGTCCAAGTTCATCAATAGTTTGTTGTTCAAAGGTTATTATACATTTTCTGTTAAAGATTAGATAGTAATATTTTAGGCTTTTGGGGCCAGAAAACAATGTAGCTAGAGTTTTCCTGCCTGGCCCAGGGTCAGGGCAAATCTCTCTCACCTGCCAGTCCCACAGCCGCTCAGACCCAACCAAGTAAACACAGAGACTTATATTGCTTACAAACTGTATGGCCGTGGCAGGCTTCTTGCTAACTGTTCTTACAGCTTAAATTAATCCATTTCCATTAATCTATACCTTGCCACATGGCTCGTGGCTTACCGGCATCTTCACATGCTGTTTGTCATGGTGGAGGCTGGCAGTGTCTCTCTGACTCAGCCTTCCACTTCCCAGCTTTATTCTCCTCCTTGTCCCGCCTACACTTCCTGCCTGGCCACTGGCCAATCAGTGTTTTATTTATTGACTAATCAGCAACACATTTGCCATACAGAACATCCCCCAGCACTTCCCCCCCTTTTTTTTTCCAAAAGGAAGGTTTTAACCTTAACAAAGTAAAATTACATATAATTTGGGAATTTGGGCATAGCTTCTCTTACTACTTCCTGCTGGAGGGGGGCGCTGTATCTTATGGGGATACAAAGAAAATTTTAGAATTATGGAGTAGTCCATGAGGGTCTATGTCTGAGCGAGTTGCCTTCAAATCGTTCTGGATGTTGGATCATCTGGGCCATGGTGTCATCGGAAACCTTTCAGGGGGTCTTGGCTGGTCAAACCTGATGTATCTTAATCTGGAACAAATCCATAGCCTCTGGCTTTCTGTGGGAACAAAAGCAGAGTCTCCTTTCCAAAGCAACACATCCTTACAACCAAATTTTGAAGTCAAGGTATCTTTAAAATATACATATTGATTTAACTCAGCATCTTTTTTTTTTTTTTCTCTTTTTTTTTTTATTAATTTATTTTGCAATACAATTCAGTTCTACATATCAGCAACTCAGCATCTTTTATGATCAAATGTTTTTCTGCAGTTAAAAATCCCAAAGACAACACAATCCGGATTCTCTGTGTAATATTCATCTTTACGTGGCTTATTTTATATATTAATTTTACTGTCTCTTTAAAGACTTTATTTTTTAAAACTATGTATTTGTTTCTATAACTCTATATATCACCTTTTTTGTCTCTTTCAAGCCTACGTATCTTTTACACACATTGTAAACTATTACATCTGAATCTGTCTTATTGTGAATCTATTGCTTTAAACTGCAGCAGCTGTGGCTGCTGGCTCCACCCACCTCAGCTTCCCAACATGGCGGTGGTACTTTACCACCAGCTCTGGGAGCTATCGTGGGTCTATGCTTTTAGCCAAGCAGCGTGTAGCCCAGAAACCTCTTTTTTTTTGTTTTGTACTAGCAAAGGCTAAATCCACCACGCAGCTTAATGTGCCACTTGCAGAGGCCTCATTCCCACCATACTGCAGGTTGAGCATGCACGCTAGGAAACCACCAGTAGCTCAAACCGGCAGCAGCCGCTCATTTGAGAGAGACAATTAGGAACTGTTTTTAGCTCCGTTTTAGAATCTTTTTTCTCAGTTTTTAGGTGGAAACTCTTGCCACCACGTTGGACACCATTTGTAGCTAGAGTTTTCCTGCCTGGCCCAGAGTCAGGGCAAATCTCTCTCACCTGCCAGTCCCACAGCCGCTCAGACCCAACCAAGTAAACACAGAGACTTATATTGCTTACAAACTGTATGGCCGTGGCAGGCTTCTTGCTAACTGTTCTTACAGCTTAAATTAATCCATTTCCATTAATCTATACCTTGCCACATGGCTCGTGGCTTACCGGCATCTTCACATGCTATTTGTCATGGTGGCGGCTGGCAGTGTCTCTCTTGACTCAGCCTTCCACTTCCCAGCTTTATTCTCCTCCTTGTCCCGCCTACACTTCCTGCCTGGCCACTGACCAATCAGTGATTTATTTATTGACCAATCAGAGTAACACATTTGACATACAGAGAACATCCCACAGCAAAACAAAATTCAGAATATTATGTAGGCACTTAGATAAGAGAAAAAAACAGAAACAGTGTTGACCAATATTTTATTGATAGAGTTCAGTTGATAAACATGCATACAAGTAAGGCTAAACAGACTGAGCATGCTATGTTTATGTATTTAAGAATATGTATATCCATGTATTCATGCAATAACAATTAGTGAAAAAAGAGGACATGAACTTCAAAGAGAGAAAGAAAGTATATGGGAAGGTTTGGAGGGAGGAAAGGGAAGCAAGAGATGTTGTAATTTTTGCAACTATAATTTCAAAAAATAAAAGAAATAATTTAAAAATCATTTTTGTGGTTTAGTAATACAGTGGAAAGCACTACCTAGCAAGAAAAAGAAATCATGGACTACAACAGACAACATACAACATACAACATACAACCTTTCACAAACATCACATGAGCGAGAGAAACCTACACAAAAGCTACATGTTATTTAATTACAAGTTCTGGAAAATACAAGGTAGTTAACAGTCACAGAAGACTTTGTGGTTGCCAGGTACCAGGAGTGGAAGGTGGAGGATGGTAAAGACACCCAAAGGAACTGTTTGGTGATAGAAATATTCTATATGTGGTTGAAATAGTGGTTGTACATGGGTTTATGGATTTGTTTTTGTTTGATTTTTTTTGTTTACTTGCTTTTTATGGCTTTTTATGAATTTGGGAAATCCAGCTGACATGACTCAGGGAGCTTTATGGCAAGATCTGTATGGCCAGGAAGTAAAGGACAGGGCAGGTGCCTTCTGCCAGGAGTCAAGACAGTGAGCTGTCTGAACAGCAAATCCTCGCTCTCAGGAGGCCTCCAGATGATTTGGCCCTATCTGAGATTCCTTACATCTTCTTAGGAGACCTGTGCTCAGTGCCACCCAACAAAGCTATTCCTAAGTTCCTGTCCATAGAAACTGACTGTAATTGGTTCATTACACCCCTTGCCCTCGATATATTTTTATAGTTATTGAAAATCCTATTAATCCATATGTACATGGATGTGTATATTATAACACATTAGTGATTAAGTCCAGGTTACCGACACACATCAGTGTCCCATTAAGGAAAGGAATGAAAGTACTTCCCCTGGAGTCATTTAGCCCAGAGTGAGCCTAGATTTTAATTCTCCTTCCTATGCTCCCTATGCCATCTGTCCTCTTGTCTATTGTCTGAGTCTGAATCTGTGCCTGCGTGAAGGCTGCCCTGTGAATCTGCTGGCCCTGTGTCTGGGTGTCTATGCTGTGTGTCTGTCTGTGTATGAGCTGTGTCTGTGAGTGGTGTCTGTCTGTGAGTGGTGACTGTCTGTCCCTAACAAAGGACTTCACTTTCTATTGCACAGTATAGAAAGCATCACATGGGGAGAAAAGAGATTCTTCACAGACGTCTTAACAGTTTTACAAGGGGTTAAGTAACTGTCTCCAACTGATCCACATAACAAACGTCATTGTTTATCAACCAATCACTTCAAATGGTCAGTTTCAACCCCTGTGGCAGATTTTAGGAAGTTGCTTTCACCTTCTGTATTTGCTGCCTTCAGCAAACAATTCACATACACAACTCTGGGTCAGGCGCAAGGAAGAGTTCATTACTTCAGATTGCAGCTATGAATTAGGTAAGGCTGTAAAAGTTGATTCCGTGGGGAATCCAAGACAAGTACAATTGTTTGTTACATTGTTCTTTTAAGGGCAGGTTGAACAGTTTGAGTACATGGGAGGAAACCAGCAGTTGTAAATCTTAAGTGACTTCAAGGTGTATTATTAATTTTGACTGTGATGTCTAGCAAAAGCCTTAGTCGTTTAGAATGTAAGAGATATTTTCAGAATATTGCATCACCACAGGTATGGAATCCATCAACTGCAACATGGACAATCTGCCAGCAGCTACTTCCCGAAGAAGAGTGACTCCTCCGACCTCAGCAGCTGTCAACTACCAATACATCCTCAGTTACAGACGCAGCCCCTTCCCCAGTCTTCTGGAATTTAGACTGGCTTGATCGTGTACAAGTCTTGTATAGGTAACCACAACCACTGTGAGTTGATATGTGCCATAGCTTTGTTACGTCAAGAAGTTACCTTTCCACAGCTCAGTCCTCATCCACCGTGTTCCCTGATCTTATGTGGGGGGAGCCGATACAGACAACTCACCCATAGCTGAGCGTCTGCAGCTGCTCACACTCAGCACTGTGGTCAGTTATGAGCCTCCTCTTTGACCCCAGCCCTCCTGGCCACGAGTGCAGCAAAAGCCAGAGCTATAAGCATAATGTTTAGAAGGAAGTTTGGCAGCGTGAGCACAATGCTTTTGAAATCTGTTTCTACTACTGCATGGCATTTTAAGCCAGAAACCAAAAACTCCATAAGCCATTCATTTAAAACAAGTTCCCTTTAGTTTATTGCTTAAAATTATATTATAATAAGATATATTTTTTAAAAAATTGTTGAGAGCCATCAGCTAGGATAACATGTAAAATGTACTATAAATTACAAATCAGTAACCAAGTATATCACCATTTTAAGTTCTTCCAAGAGTCCTTACACTGTACAGAAGGAAGCTAACAACCTGTACTTTATGAATTAAGAGATTTTTGCTGAAGTTATACTTGACCAGTGTGTAGTCGGGTTAAATACTAAGTTGCCATCCATATTACTGGGCACAGGGGCTTGGGAGATGGCTAATTCAGTAAAGTGCTTTCCTTGAAAGCAAGAAGACCTGAATTCCATCCCTAGAGCCCCTCAGAGCCCACATGAAAAAAACTGGACATGTAAAGCATGTTCTTGTCCGAGTGTAAAGGAGGTGGAGACAGGCAAATCCCTAGGCCTACAGGCTGGCCAGCCTAATCTGCTAACATCCAGGCTAGACCAGTGAGAGACCCTATCTCAAAAAAAAGTATATAAAACCTGAGAACTGACTCCTGAGGTTGCCTTCTGACCTTCACACGCAACACACACACATAGTGTGTGGGATGAATATATTTATTTGTGTTTACTAGTTATGAATGGTCACTTCTGAGCACTATGCTCAGGGTGATAGGGTGTTTATATAGTATAGTTATCATAGACATTTAAGAGATAGAGAGAAATGAAGGCATGGCAGAAGAGTAGCTCGGGACTTGTCATCGGGAAGGTAAGAGTCCACTTCTACTCCGGCACTAATCCACAGAACGGTCTTTGAAAATCTCTCCAATTTTTATACAGTTCTTGGAACTTTCTCCATTTTTTTCTTTACAAAAATGAACTTTTGGGGATAGGGGGTTGTCTTAGTAGTGCTCTATTACTTGAAGAGACACCATGACTAAGGAAATTCTTATAAAAGAAAGTATTTAACTGGGGCTGGCTTACAGTGTCAGAGGTTTAGTTCAATATCATCTTGGCAGGGAGTATGTTGGCATGCAGGCAGACATGGTGCTGGAGAAGTAGCTGAGAGTTCTACATCTGGATCCACAGGCAGCAGGAAGAGAGCAATACTAAGCCTGGCTTGGGCTTTTGAAAACCTGAGAGCTCACTCCCAGTGACACACTTTCTCCAATAAGGCCAAACCTTCTCCAACACCTCCTAATCCTTCCCAAATAGTGCCACTCCCCCAAAGACTAAGCATTCATATATGGGCCCAGAGGGCCAATCTTATTCAAACCATCACAGTGGTCTTATGTTTAAAATCTATCAATATGAACTAGGAACCTTAATGTATTAAGAGAATATAATAGATACTATGAAGTAGCACAATGTAACATCAAAGAAACTTCTGTTCTTGATTTTAGATGCATTTATTTCTCTTAGGTGCCTTGAACTCTCCAAAAGCATTTCTGAACTGTATTGATAAATACCTAGTTTTGTTGTGTTTGTTTATTTAAAACAGAACCTTCTTTGTATCTCGGGATGGCCTTCCAATCTTCCTGCCTCCACCTCCCAACCACCAGGATGGCAGGTGGTAACCATGAATGACCATAGTTTTGAAGAGGACATAATGTTCTTTACTTAGAATAACTTGCACTCTTTAACATTCACTAAGGCATGAAAACATTGCACATTCAGCAGAAACCGTTTTTAAATTTTGATGTTTTCTGGTTTAGTGCCTTCCATACTATAGTCCTATGATGCTGATCAGTGTCAGTGAGTGCTGCTCCCCAGTAACCACACTATCATGTGGGTGAACAGCCCACAGTCTACAGGACACTGTTTCTAAGCTAGAATGTTCAATAGATTAGGTACAGTAAGTGCATTTTAACTTAATATTTTCAATTTATATCAGGTTTCTTGGGACATAACCCCCTCCATAATTTAGGCAACATCTTTATTTTGTGATTTTTTTTTGTTTTTTTTGTTTTTGTTTTTGTTTTTTTTTGAGACAGGGTTTCTCTGTGTAGCTTTGCGCCTTTCCTGGAACTCACTTGGTAGTCCAGGCTGGCCTCGAACTCATAGAGATCCGCCTGGCTCTGCCTCCCGAGTGCTGGGATTAAAGGCGTGCGCCACCACCACCTGGCTTGTGATGTTTTTTACTTAGCTATGCTATGCTATTTCAGACAGATTCTCAATACCCCTTAAGATGATCTCCAACTCCCTGGCTCAGGTAACTTTTCACTCTCATCCTTTTGAGCAACTGCAGCTAATAAGTTTGTGCCACAACACCTGAAGTATTAGATTTTTTTAAAAGAGGGTTTTGATTTAACAACCTGGAATGTGGGAAGGTTGGCAGGAGTGTTGTCCCATCTGTATCTGATAGAATGGATGACGTGCTCTGTTTGGCTTGACATACGCCTGTTTTCTGAATATTTTTGTGTACTAGTGACTCTTAATTGGCAAACATGATTTATTAGATAGTGCAATATTTTCATAAGTGTACAGCCTTGAGCCATTTTACTAGTTCTTGATGTATTCCTATTTAATCTAGCATTGTTTGTGGCTAAATTTGACAAAAATATTTCATGTTGAGGAAGCATTGTAGTCTGCCTGCAGTCAGTAGGTCTGGATACTCTGCTAGGGAAATGGCCTAGGCTAGCTGCAGACTCTCAGAGCCCACATCTCCTCTGCAGTTTCAAAGAATAAGAACTGAGTACTTAGTATGAGAGCTGGTGCATAATAAGCACCAAAAGATATTGTCAGTCACCATGTCACCATGAAATCACCATTATTGCTTGAATCCTACACAATTGAAGTTGACTGATGTTGGGTGATTAATGAAATTTCAACATAATTTTCAAATGTAAAAAATCTTTACCTGTTTCCGTTATTCAAAAGTACATAGTTAGTTGATGGTGGACCAACAGTGTCAACTTTATTAAAACCATGGTACTTGAAGCATTAAGTTCAAATACTGAAAACCATGCTTGGCTCTGGACAGAAATCACTTTGCTGAGTTATGTAAGCTTGGATTATAATATATTTATTGTAAAATAAGTATTTTTGTTTACCTCTTAAAAATGACAAGCTTTGATTTCACTATAGTTTAGGAGACATAGATCTCTGTTATAAAAATCTCATTTTCTTTCCCATGGAATGTTTTAGGACAGATATTTGAGACAGGTTGTCGTTACTTCCCCCTGGCTGGCCTGGAACTGGCTTTACAGAGATTCACCTGCCTCTGCCTCCCAATGCCTCCCAAGTGCTGAAACTAAAGATGTATACCACCATGCCAGGCACACTGAATTTTTTTTTTTTTTTTTTGGTTTTTCGAGACAGGGTTTCTCTGTGTAGCTTTGCGCCTTTTCCTGGAACTCACTTGGTAGCCCAGGCTGGCCTCGAACTCACAGAGATCCGCCTGGCTCTGCCTCCCAGTGCTGGGATTAAAGGCGTGTGCCACCACCGCCCGGCGGCACTGAATTTTTAACTCCAAACTTAAAACAAAAAAATCTACCACTTCAGAGCTGTGTAGTAGTATTTCTGTTCTTAATATTATTATAATATTATAAATATTTAATATTAAATAAATAATATTAGTACCTCTTTTGAAGATTTGTGAGTATTAGATGCATTAATTCATGTAAACCACCCTAACAACACTTAGCACATAACATGTTTGATTGTGATTATCACAACTACAGGGATCATCTTCTTACCAGGACCACAAGGCAGTGATTGCCAGATATCTCAATGTCCCCTCCTCACAGTGAAGCCCCTGCTGATTGGCTGGAGATCTCAATGTCTCCTCACGGTGAAGTCCCTGCTGATTGGCTGGCTGTCCTTACGCCAGAATAAACCTCTGATTATGCTAATTGAACTCTCTTCTGTCTTTCCTCTCTGAGGGGTGAAAGTGTAGGGTCACTGAGGAACTTTTCTGGGTCTTTCTGCAGTTTCTTGTAGAATAGTGAAAGTCAAGAGAAGCGTGTGTCTTCCATCTCTCCTGACATCTTTACTTGGTCAGTCTTAGGTGGATCCCTTGACTTCAGTACAGGACACCTTAGTTTCATTTTCAGTTTTTATTTTTCAGTATCTCCATGGCACCATCTTCCCCTCTTCATTCCTTTTGTAAATAAATTCTTTAAGTATTTTGAAAGCAAATTTAAGGAAAATTTAGAGAAAAAAATGGATATATTGTCAACCTAATAGCTGTAACTTACAACCTTTATTTCACCATTCCCCAAATAGTGCCCAAATACCCCTACAAGGAAAAAAGTCTAAGACCTTCATTCTTCCTGTTTTTGTCTTGGATCTCTACAAACAAACAAAATAACCTTCATTTCTATTTCCCCATCTATTTCCTAACATTATTTCATGACTTACTGTTTCTAGCCTAAGTCCTTTCTCTTCACATTTCCCCAGTGTATCATTCTTTGTTTTAAAATGCAAAGTACTTACAGGAAGGCAAAGACACACAAGTCTTTTGACATGTAATTGTTATACACATATGGGATGCTGTTACTCTTTGAGTAAAATAAATTAAAAACCCACCAAACCAAAAATAATTAATAAATTTGTTTGCTATTGTGAGTAGTGCTGCAAATGTCTCCCACATTTAATCTGTGAGTTTGTGTTCCTGTACAGCATCCATGGAGTTTGAGAACCATGTTCTTAATTTCCCCAT